TAGAATAAAAAACTTTATACAATTTTGTAAATCATTTTCTAGAAAAAAATCACTTTTAAGATCATAACATCTTTTAAAACTTAAAGGTCATTTAAAACAAACCCACTTGCATCTTTAAGTGAGCCCTTAAAATATCACTTTAAAAACTAGTTTTAAAAAGATTAAATTCAACTTATCTAACTCAAAGACTAGAAACAAGAAGGTAAAAACCTTTATGCTAAGATTTGATAAAGACAATTTGGAGATAGTGATGCTAAAGATTTTTTTTAAAGTAATCAAGTTACATCATTAAAGTTCTATTATTAAAAAACTAAAAAACCATTAAGGAACAATTCAAAAAGAGCTACAAGAAATAAAAGATATTTTTAAAATTTCTTCATTTATTTTTTTAAAAATTAACAAATATTTCTAAAAGTAATAGATGCCTCTTATTTTATTTTTTTAAATCTCATTCTTTATGAGATCATAAAAAATATAATTAAAGAACTTTTTGTTCTTCTTGATTTCAATAAACTAAAAGAATTTATAAGAGAATTGGCAAAAAAATGAGATTCTTAGATTGAATAGAGTTGAAATTGAATATATTTTTTTTAAATTAGCATATCATTAGAAAAGATAGTAGTACAATAATTTATCAAGCAATTGCAAACAATCAACTTTTTTAAAATATTATTGAAATTTATATCGCCTTACTAGAAATTTATTACTCTATCAAATAACACATATAATTTTTTTCTATAGTTAAAAATAAATAAATAAATAAACTCAAGATATTATAATAGAAGTAATTTTTCTAAACCGAACAACTTAATTTTTTTACAATATATTTTGTATAATATACTAGTTACATAAAAAAAAATAGTTTGGATTAAATCTTCTAATGAATCTCTTCTACTTCTTAATATTTAATAACAAAGTTTCTTAGAATTTCTCTTTTCAAGCTATAGAAAAATCTAGATTCAATTTACAGTTTTTTATATGATTAAAATAAATTTTATATCACAAGTGCTTCAATTGGAATTAATGGTTTATTTATAAAATATTTTCTAATTAAATAAAGAATAAGACAAGGATGATCCCTTGCTTCCTATTTCTTCATCTTTATTTATGAGGTCTTGAATATTGCCATTTAAGAGATATATAAACAAAATAAGCTTCAGAATATTATTATCTTGTAGAATAATAATGAAGAAATTATTGATCAATATGCAAGTGATTCAATCATCACTTCAAAAGAATACAAGAATAATATATAGATTAATAAAAATACTTAATAAATTTAATTTGGTCTCAAGTCTAGAAACTAATTAATCAAAATCAGCACTTAAATAGAAGTACAAAAAATAAATAGATATATGTAGACTAATGACTTGGATGGGCATGGATATCCTCTAATAATATTAATAAGTTACTAGGAACTCTATTTGACTTATTTTTACATACATGTAACATTGATCAATTTTTTATTAACAAACGATATGTAAATTAGACTATAAGTGATTTATTAAAATAGGTGTGGTACACAAAGTTATAATTGTCAATAGCATCTAACTATTATTTCTATACTATTTTCTTACTTCTTGAGTTATATTTTTAAAAGAAATTTAGAAAATAAATTTTTTTAGAGATTTCATTTGAGATTACTTTTGTTTAATGTAATCAAAATTATTGGCAATGCTTAAAATAAAGTCGGCCTTGGTTTGATTGACTTATGAGATGCCATTAAAGCTCTTTTCATGAAATGGATTGTAAAGGCCCAAAAACCACAATACACTAATAATAAAAAAAATTCTTAGATTCAAATGATGAATGCCAAATCTATTCCACCAAGAAAATAGCTTCCAAATTTTATCTAGTTGTTATTCCAAAAACACAAACAATGTCTTGGTTTTAAAATTTGTAAAAAGAATTGGCAAAGTGTATGCATAAATACAATTTGTATTTGTGTCCTAATTATTTTTCTTTCTTTAATATAGTATAAAACAGATTTTTTATATAAGGATGCAAATTTTCTACTTATATAGACTCTCATCTAAATTCTTAAGAAGTTGCAACTTTACACCTAAACAGTCTTCAAAGAATAAAAGATTTGTTTAAAGCTTCTTTATAACTAATGCTCTTAAGCAAAGCCAAATATAAATGCAAATTCAATTTGGATATTTATTATATATATATATATATATATATATATATATATATATATTTCTATATTATTATTTTTTAAAATATAATAGAATGTAATTAAAATAAATAGAGTTATACCTAAATCTAAAGATTGGATTGATTTATATACTTTTAAGAGTAAAAAATTATCTTTAGTAGTCTTCCAACTTCCACTCAATACAAAAGAATTAAAGAAGACAAATTATTCTTCTATTATTTCAACACATTCAAATTAAAAAAAACTTGTGTGGCCTCTCAATTAAGAATTCTCTATTAAAATAAAAACCTATCTTTTAATTAATTTAGATAATATCTCAAAAATAATAAGTATCAAGCAATTGGTTATCTAAAACTTATAAAAATTGTCTTAAAAATAACTATGTTAGACAAAAAAAACAAAGGCAATAATTTGAGATTGGTCAATCTTGGCTTTAAATATATTTACATCTATTCTTTGGAAATTAAGATCTTAAAAAGTATCTTTATGGATATAAGCCATCTTTGCATAAAATATTCCTCTTTACATTAAAAGCTTTTGTAAGATTTGAACTCCAGATTAAATGAAATCAAATTAAATGAAAAACTACATTACCTTATATTCAATTTTAGTATTTAATATTTTAATATTTAATATACAACATAATTTGAACGAAAATAAATGCACCTTAAAAATGAAAATAAGTTCAAAAAGTGAAATAAATATTTAATCTCTAAAAATATTAAGTGTATAATTTTTAGAAATAAAATAATTTTATGGCATAAAATCACATCAATTGTTTCCAATCACTTATCATTTACAATATACTATAATTTTGCATCATGCATTCAAAAGAGATGAAAAGTTAATTTAGTATTATTGACATTACAGCATCTACTATTAAATCACTCTAGCTTTAAGATACATCCATAACATTTGACCTTGGAATGTGATAATTACTACACATTCATTACTACCAACAAGCAATCATTTTTACATAGTTTAAGTCATAGAATTGAAGACACCATTGTTCTAATCTTAAGTTACATATTTACATATTACACAAGAAAATATGGTAAAATAGAAACTTCACATGCCATTGTAATCATTTCAAAAATAAACAATGCCAAAAATATGTTACAATGATTACACTAGAATAAAATAAAATATTTTAACCATTGAATGAAAAAGAGATGATATTTGAGTTTTTGATTCTGATGATTATGCAAGTCGAGCTTCCACAAATAATTTCTCAGAAAAGCATATTCAAGATTTTAAAATCTTCTACGCATAAAATTTTATGACTTATAAAACCATAACTTGGATTAATAAATATATTTCTAAGTTAGAGTTAGGACCCAATAGTATAAGTAAATTATCAATATTGAAAATTGATCTTTTAGTTCTATAAATATATCATATATATGTAAGGAAATAATGTTAATTTTAATTTTATGAAATTTTCTCGTTTAACATAAATGGATGGTTATTCAATCGTACTGGGCTTTATAACTTCTGGTTGATTAAATAATATATTTCGTATTTATACAAGTCAAATATTGTGGTATGATTTCTTTTAAAAGCTTATAAGATCTAAAGGTTTTCATGCAAAATGCCATGTAGATGTTAAGTATTTTGTCAAAATGATACCAAATTTTAAAACTATATTGAAGATAGCATCAGGCCTATTCATACATCCATATATGTATATATATATATATATATATATATATATAACACAGTACCTCTTTAATGGTTATGATAAATAGAAACATAAATGATTTATTTTCTTGGCTTAACAACTTTTAAAAGTCTTGCTAAGTGTTAATTTTTTGTAGGAAACGAATTAATGTTATTAAAGTTAATAAGATACTTTTTAAATTTAAAATAATTAAAAAATGATATTTGGAACATTATTTATCCTTTAAGGCAAAGATTGGTTATATTTAATTTTTTTATTGACTCAAAATATTATATGAATAAAAATAAATCAAAATTGTAATGTTTATGCATTGTTTTTCAAAATACTGATGCACTGTATATATATATATATATATATATATATATATATACATATATAATTATTGTAAAATTTAAGTGTTTAAAACTTTTATTGCAAGTATTGCTGTATCTTCAATATGTTATAAAGTTTACAAAGAACATCATGCATTTAAAGACATACTACCTCAAATAGAAAATGCTGCAAACCTCAAAACAAGTACAAACTTCATGATCCAAGTTGATCGCTAACAATATCATTTTGTGTGACAACTCTACATCTTCGAGTTTTAGAAAATATTCATTATCACAACAAAGCCAAATGTACCAAAATTACATTTATGTCTGTGCACACTCGTACACATATACACACTAAACAGAAACTTCGTTATAATTGATTAATTCAAAAAAATACCTCAGTGACAAACTTAATTAATCCGAACGTGAACCCACCTCATACTTTTGAAATGAAAAAAACATTAAAAAACTACAAAAAATATTGCTGACAAAGTACATCTACTCCAATACAAAACCTCCAAATAGATTTGTATCCCATTATATATATATATATATATATATATATATATATATTGTAGTGTTAAAATTCGTTTCGTTATCTCAAAGGGGGACCAAATATAGTGGGGGGGGGAGTCTTATATGTGTGATCTTCACCCCTCCCCCTCCACCGAGGCATATAGATAATTCGGCACAAGGGGCCATGCCAGCTAGGACTCAAGCGGGGCCTACTCCCGCGGAGCCCCGACCAATAGGCGGCGCCTCAGAGATCATGCGACGACGAACGACGCTATCCAGACCCCCCCCCCCCACGGGTGCTCCTCTTTGCAAACCCTAATCCTGTGTCTTCATCGTCGTTTCCCATTCGTCTCCCCTACCTCTCTCTGCCTTTTGCTTTTGCTCTGCTCTACATTGTTCTGTTCTGTTCTGCGCGAAAGCTCGTTTGTTCGTCAGCTTGGGTTCGTCGCAACTCAAGCAGGAGTGCGTTGTGTTCGCTGTAGAAGAGAGTTGAGATTCCTCGTAATTTGAGCGCTGCATTGGGATTTGGGGGTTCAAGGCTCTGCTATCGGTGTGTTGGCTATTCGCTCGTCGGAGAAGGAATGTTCAGGAGTTTGGCTGTGAACAGCGAAATTAATCGTGGCAGTTTCTCGGGTTTACAGGCATTGTCGATTTTTATAGGGGTTTTGTTGCCACGGTGCAGTAGGTAGTGTTTTGCATCGGTTCCGTTGAGGAGTAGGCTGAATAGATACGCGGCCTGGGCATTGTATTTTTTGTACAGAGGCCCTGTGCGTTTTGGAGTAGAGCTTGGGTATCGAGTTCGTTGGCGTGGGTGTATTTTGTGTTGAACGGGTAGGAATGTAGAGTCGTGACGAAGCGAGGAGTTTTTTAAGCTAGTCCTTCCGAAAACTGACCATCGACTTCATTGCTTGTTGGTGATTTTTCTCATGCGGACGATTGTCAGATGACATTTTGCAGTTCGCCGTCTCGTATATACGACATCAAATTATTCTCTCGTGACCCACTGGATTCTAGAATGTGAATCATCAGGCCATTTTTTCGGAAGGTTTCTTTAGAATTGGAGGCTTTGTGAGCTGGGAAGGAGTATAGTAAGAGTGTAGGTGTCCATTCAGGATCTGTCATTATCTTTGAGTATTCTCTATTGTTACCCTTCCGGAGCGGTTTGGGTTCTCTTGAACTTCCTTCATAGCGGCTGAGGAAAGATGCCGAACGACAATAAGATTATAGCAAGGTCTTTCGGGATTTTGATAGGACTTGGATTAGCTGGGTTTTTTGTCCTGCGGCGCGCGTTAAGACTAGCAGTTAAGAGGGATAATGGTGCCTTCATAGAATACTTCGAGCTGCCGCCCGCCACATCACCTTCAAGCGCTCCACAACCTCTTTCTGGACTCACATTTGCTGTCAAAGATATGTAAGTATCGACCCTGTCTTTTGTGGGATGGCTCTGTGGTTGAAATGCAGTAGTTCTCGTCACGAGCAGTTATGCTACTCATTGGTCTCTCGATAGGAAACATCAGTGCTTAAGAATTAAAAATCTCCTGTCGTTCCTTCTCTCCGCTGTCTAAAGAATCGTAGATTTTCTAGTTTATAGCTTCACTGCACTCTGAAGATTCTCTCGTTATTGATTTTATGTCAAATCATATCCGGGGGGCTTCATTTGAATCTAGTTTCACACCCTCCTTGAATTTTGTTCTTATCTCGCCTAATTCGGCATGGCTCGTGGTTTTGAGGGCATCTTGTATGTTTTCTCAAACTCTTTTTTGTGGCAGTCAACCCAATAAACTTACGATGCTTGGGGACCTTGATCCTTAAGAAACTACGATGCTCGACAAATTTTGAAAATCTAACTCGGATGATTCAGTCGTTAATTGGCTTGATTATAGTTCATTGTTACGTAGTACTGGAAGAGAGCAGATGGAAGAACTCAGTCGAATACAGTTAAAGCTGTGAAATTTTGATCTCTTAAAATTAAAATATTCTCAAGCCATTTCGGATTGTTGTACTCATGGGACTCTATTGTTGAAAGGACCATTGCGACAATTAGGTGTGTTAGGTTCCCTTGGTTTATATTTGTCTTCACATGGCAAAATTTCTAGATTACAGTCCTAGGCAACCTAGTACGTCGAATCAGCTTTGGAAGGATTTTGGTCCATCATCATCATTATAATCCGATTGTTCTGTTGGCTGAAAGCTGCTCAAGCTTCTTAAAGTATCATAACTAGTAGTTGGCATCCAGGGTCATGCATTCCTTACACCTCTCTGTAACTTTCTTAGTGATTGTCAAATACGTCTGTTAGAAATCAGCCTTTAATCTCGCCCTGGGGCTTTTGGTGTGTTGAAGAACAGATTCGATGTGGAAGGATTTGTTACAGGTTTTGGTAACCCAGATTGGGCAGCAACACATGAACCTGCCACTCGTACCGCTCTAGCGGTAAAGTACCTTGTGGATTCAGGTGCGACATGCGTTGGCAAACTTCATATGGATGAGCTTGCTTACAGGTAGATCTCCCTGCCTCTTTTAGAAATAATGTAATTTAGTTCTAGTAGGAAACTTTAAATGAGGTTTTCTCGCAGAGGAGTGTGATTAAAAGGCTTGCATTAAGAGCATGTAGCTCAGAATATTAAATGAAAGGGATGTGGAATTTTACAGTATCATTGGAGATAATAAGCACTATGGAACACCAGTCAATCCTGCAGCACCAACCCGTGTTCCAGGAGGGTCGTCAAGTGGTTCAGGAGTGGCTGTAGCTGCCGATTTAGTGGATTTTTCACTTGGTATGTTTATCCTGGAATCTGTAATTGAAGTTCACAGCTACCCAGTTCCGAATCCTGCGGATAAGAGGAGCAATTGATGTTTTTGTTCCGAGAAAAACGCTTGATCGCGTGTAATTTGTCTCAATTTTACGCTCTCTCGGGATTTTTAGGTACGGATACTGCTGGTAGTGTGCGAGTACCAGCGGCCTTTTGTGGAATCTTGGGTTTTCGGCCTTCGCATGGAGCTGTTCCAGTGATTGGAGTTATCCCCATGGCACAAAGTTTTGATACTGTTGGTAAACACTCTGTTACCTCTTCGATTTATTCGGGACCGTGTGATGGGTTGAGTGGTTCTCTTTGACAATTTCATAAATGCGCTCCTATTTTCTCTAGGCCAGTTTTTATTTCTCTGCATTCGGTATGCTACCTCTCGTCAGTTTGTGTCTGTAATATTTTTCACTCGCACTAGATTTCTTCAATTTCACTACGTGACGGAGAATTGTATTTTGCAGGTTGTTTTGCAAAAGATCCAACAATCTTACGGCAAGTAGGCCACATTTTGCTCCAACTGTCTTACACGGATGTGAGAAAACCCCAACGGTTTCTTATCGCTGATGATTGCTTCGAACTTTCATTAATTCCTAATGAAGCATCTGTTGGTGCAGTTATCAGATCGATACAGAAGCTTTTTGGACGTATGTGTTTGGCCATGTCTTATCTTTGCTACCAGTGGTTGTTTTCTTTTCATAGTGCCTTGTCGGTTCTTCCTTACTTGTTCACTGCAATTTTTTTTCCACATTGCTGTCAGTTCAGTTGTTTCGTAGATTTTTTATGATAACTTTGTTCTTTGGGTTTTACAGGAAAAGCATTGCAACACATAAATCTCGGAGATTATGTGGCAAGCGCTGTACCTAGTCTGAAGGTTCTGCAGAAGGAGATCGGTTCAGATATGGGAGCAATATCTTTACTTCGTACTGCCATGCAGATGATTCAGAGGTGGATATTTCATCGTTACAGCCATCTGATTAAAAGTAGTGTGGTAGCTTTGTTGATTTCCAGCAAGGCCCACGTTTTGTCACATTTGTGTGTAGCAGGGTTATCTAAGTCAATTGTGTGGTCTTTTTTTTCTTTTGCAAGTAATATGTACACAACGAAAACTCTAAACCCTAAACCTAAACCTTTTATGTATAGTGTATTTAGTCGCATAACTCTGTCTTCTTCCATTCACAGATGGGAGTTTAAGGTAAATCATGAAGGATGGTTGACCACCGCAAATCCTAACCTAGGACCTGCTACAGCTGCCAGAACGAAAGCTGCGCTTGAGACAACCTCTCATCTTTTGCCTCTTCTACAGAGGATCAAGGATGAGGCTCGCTATGCTATCAATGATCTCCTGAAGGTAATGTGCAGTTGCAGAAATGTAGGGAGGAATCTCACGTTGCAAGTTTGACGAGCAAAAAGCTAAACCTTTTTTCGTCCAATTGCACTTTTATGATGGTTGGGTAAGTTCGTGTATCTTATTGGAGGTTGACTTCGTTATTACTATTGCAGGATGACATGCTTCTGGTGTTGCCCACCGTTCCAGATATACCTCCCAAACTAAACACCAAACCAGAGTCGCTTGAGGAATTCCGAAACAGGGCTATGGATTTGATATGTATAGCAGGCATGTCAGGTTGCTGTCAGGTACCCTCATCTTATCGTCAGTTCGTCAGAACTGGCTAGGTTGCTGCAATCTAAACCTTTACTGGGTATTGTTTTCTATAACTCAAATACGGGCACACTTATTCTATTGTTCTCCCAAGTTCAGGAAGTTACAAGTGTGGAAGCAGTATGATGTTTCTTCCTGCTTTTGCGTGAGATGGCCCTGTTTTATGGACTTAAACAAAAACCGATGCAGGTCACGATGCCAGCAGGAGAACATGACGACGTGCCCATGGCAGTATCCCTTCTTGCAAGACAGGGTTCTGACCGGTTCCTACTTGATACATTACTAGCTTTGTATGCAACAGTACAGGTGGAAGACAAAGCTGATGCTAACCAGCGGGCTAGTTTGAGTAACGGTCACTTTGATGCTGCTGAATTGGCGAAGGAAAAGGTGGGAATCCTAAACTCGCTTTATGTGTTTAAAATCTACCACATTTAAGCATACTGATTGAAGCCTACTGATATGTTGAAACAGTGCATATTTGATCAACTTGTCCCGTTTTAATGCACGGAAAAATTTATTGACGATGATTAGTATCTTCTGTCATCTATTTATAGCAGACAATTAAGCATGAGGTTCTGAACTCTTCTCGAACATCCTATTCAGATCGTGTTTTGTAACATATTCACAGCTTATATCATGTTCATGATTGCAGGGCAACGCAGCATTCAAGAGGAATGACTTCAAGAATGCCATCAGTCATTATACTGATGCTATACGTATTCGTGGAAATAACCCAACATACTACAATAATCGTGCTATGGCTTATCTCCAGCTTCGTAGGTAGGTTTCATGTATTGTTTGTATCAAGTTGAGAGATATGACAACTTACTCTGATTAGAAACAATGGATTTGTTAGATGAGTTTCACTTGTTTTCTGGCAAGTTTGTGTTTGTTTTGAAGACACTCCAGGAGATGACAAAAACTCTGTGAATTTGCAGTTATTCAGAGGCTGAAGCTGATTGTACCAAGGCGCTAATTCTTGATAAGAACGTGAGTTAGCGTTGTCTTTCTGAATCAAAGCAGACGTTGAGAAGTAAATGCAGATGGACGGTATCAACGTGTGTTTTAGTTGTGCAGGTGCAATGCTTGATTAATCAATGTTTCAAAGCTAATTGATGAAGGGTGTACTTGCAGAGCGTGAAAGCATATTTGAGGAGAGGCACTGCTCGTGAATCTATGGGATACTACAATGAAGCTGACGAAGGTCACAAGCGTTTGCCTCCTGCTACTGCTCTTCCATGTGCTTGTGGCCGGGTCCTTTCTCTAGTTTGAATATCTTGCTTCCTACGGTGCTCTGGTCATGTCCTGCAATACATCTTGTCCTCACGGTTGGGAAGCCCTATATCTGTTCCTGTTTTTGAAACCAAAGAAATCGAAGTTTGAAGTGTGTTACTCTCTTATCACTATGTTAGTTTTTGAATCTCCAGTATACAATGTGTAGTATAGTCAAAGTGTTATAAGGTTATCTACACAATTAAGAGTATTTAGCGAATTATTGGAATAAGGTATGTATCCTAAAAGAGGTATTTCTTAATCAGAGGGTGGTGCGATGTAGAAATCCTTTCAACGTGAGGTTGTGTTTGTGCGACTTCTTTTGTACAGCAGGTGGTTAAAAACAGTGTTTTTTTGGTTAAAAGTTGCTAGAGGGAGATTAGTATGTGTGTTGGATACGGGCCACCACTTTCAAATTTTCTAAGTTGGAAGGTTCAGTTTTTGTTGCCCGCGAGGTGTCGGCGGTACTTGAAGGTTTGTTCAAAGGTAATTAGTGGCTGAGTAGGGAATAAACGTATACCTGCAACATTTGTTGGTGAATTGGCGCAAGACGTAAATCGTAGATGGGATAACTAATCATCATTGTCATCTTCACAGACTTTCCGAATTCTGTGATCCTGATACATGATTGCGTGTATGCTTGTATGGTGTGCAGATTTTAGGCAAGCTCTTGTTTATGAACCATCAAATAAAACAGCTAGTGAAGCATTGAGCAGACTTAAGAAGCTTCTTTATAATTGAAGTTGGCGATGGATTGTCTTTAGCTCAATTGTTTCCAGGGCATTAACAAGGATAAGCTGGATATATTTTCTTCCATCCACCATCCTTTGGCATATAGTTTTATGTGAGCCTATCTTTGATGTTTTTGCACATCAAGGCTCAGCCATTAGTGTATTCCGCGACATTGGGTTGGAAATTGTCCAGTTTGTGCTGGACCTATGACAAATTTGTAGATCTTCGAGTTCGGAAGGAGACTAGGAGAGTTTCGATCTCTGAAGTGAGTGCGACGGCAGGCATCAATGGTATCGTAATATCTGCTGCCTCACTTGCGTGATTTCCGTTGTATTTTAGTTAACATGTTCTACTGTTGCACCAGAGCTGGAACCATTTTGTAGTTTACGTCTGTCCAATCTTATGTATACAGCAAGCAAAGAATGCATTGCAGATGTTAGCAGGGTTGAAGTTTCTCTCTGTCATCAATTACAATTCTTATGTATGTTGTTTTATTACTACAACCTGACAGGTTAATTGCAACTCTGCATTGAACGCGAGTAAGTCTGTCCAGTTCCTGCGGATAAGCTGGATACTTTGTTCTGAAAACGGCTTATGCGGTTCTGCAGTACACGTACAAATCTTGCCTGCATTGCTGCTTTGAGCAAAAGTTCCTATACGCATAGCGTGAATATGCCCTCAATTTGACATACTAATGTATCAGTGTTCACTTCAACTGAAACATTTCAAAAACCCATCAAAATTATTTGTCATTAGTAGTACTTTAAATCTATTATAAAGAAATTGCTAAAGAAAGAAGTTGCAAAAAAGGATGGTGTATATTCAATTTACATGATGCGAACTTCAGATTTGGAAATTCAATGTTGAATGTTATAATATGTTTCAAGTAGCTTTTAGCAATTAATTTTGGGAATTACTAGGTAGATATTTCTTTTTTTGCTGCCTGGGAACCCTTCTGCCACGCACCCTTGCACACATTAAATAAAATCATTATTTATGCTAAAATGCTGAAAAATTTAGTGTAATTTACAACCAAATTTATAATAAAAGTTGAGTGTATGATGGTTTTGTACAATTTTTCTTTTATATATATATATTTATATATATATATGAATGTACAATTCATTAACCTTAATAAAACTTCATATGTTTGTGTGACTATAATTCACTTCAAAAAAGCTTCTTAATTTTATATAGTCTTTTACTGTAAGTTTGCTTTAAAACTTTCTAGTATAAATAACATTTTCACTGTGCGAGGGCGTATGACATGGAAATGCCCACAGTAAAAGGGGGTGTCCACCTAGAAATTCCATCTTATATTGAAAAGTACACATTCTCAAATTCTACAAAATATTAGAATAATTAGTAATTCATTTCAACATCAAGTGAAAAAATGTTGATATACACAAGCAACTATTTAATGATGTTAATTTTGAATTTTTTTGATTGGATAATAAGAGACATGTGCACAAGTGTTTCTTTTTTGTTAATTAAAAATTGTTTGGTTTGTAATCCGTAAATAAAAGATTTCATCCATATGAATCAGAAGTATGTCTAAACTTTAGGATATCCAATACGTGCATAATATAATTCGGTACTTACAATGAACTTTTCCAACTCTATACTTATGGCTCAGGTACCACATTTTCTCCGACAAAGAAGTTCCCGAAGATAATCACGGTGATTCACATGTACACAAAACAGAGAAGCCATTGATAACGTGCCTTTCTTCGACCAAGCAGGTAGGGGACTGAAGAAATGCCTACACTTGGCAAAGACCTCTCCTCAAAATTTAATTGCATCCCAATGGTATAGGTTCACCAAAGAAAAACTCAATACGAACTTTGAGTTGATGATTTATTCAAAGTACTGGGGACGCAAATTACCTATCACAAGCAAAAACTTTTGAGATTTGCATAGAAATAGAAAAGTTGATCAATGTTTTCCATCACGGAACAAGCGTTAGCTAAAATGAAATATCAATCATGTGTTAAGATTCGGAAATTATTCAAAGCAAGCCATTTTGGTACGTAATGTTGGCAGCAGGTTTTAAAAGTGTCGAGTCCTCCAACATACTTACACCCAAGAGCAATCTGTAATCATCTTCTTTGATTCATCTGTGTAATTACAGGAACCTTGCATATTCTATCCCAGTTTCGGGTAAGATAATCCAAAAGTAATTGGATATGAACTCCCTCACAAGAACGATGAACACAAGGTGAAGCACAAATGGCAACAAATTTAAGCCAAACATAAGTGGGCAGAAAATTTTACTGAACAAACAAGTAACCTTAAGCGTAGTACATATACAAGCTGTTGGATGCAGCACACGCGATTAAATTGGCTGCTGGATGCCATGCTAAGTGTAGAAGCTTTGATGTAAAGTCATGCACTCCGCCATTCAGGTCTGGACCTGGGTTTTCACTACCTGTACAGAAAGATAAGAAATTTATCGAAGTTTATTGACATTAGAAAGGACCCATTTGTGATTTGCAGGATAAAGCATTCAAACTAGAAAAGTTCTTAATTCGAAACTCCAGTAACAGCATACCTAAGACACTAAATTCGCAATTGGACTCTCCAACGGCACAAATAGGCAAAAGAATTAGAACTTGCATAAGCATAACTTCCACAAATCCAGTATAGTATTGGCAGCTAACCTCCTACGAAGTGATAAAGAAGTAATTAATAAATGCCTTGCATAGATAGTTGACAAACAATGGTACACAAACGCAGGGGATATAATCAAAACTAACCCCGACGATTATCACGCCGTCCTCGTGCAAGATTGGCAAGTCGACTTCCAGGTTTTGAGGGGGTCGCCATAACTCGCCTTTAGAAGCATTGCCACATTCATTTAGAACATCATCCATTTTCTCGATGGGAAAATAAAAATTAGAATCAGATTGAAACCAGCAACCGACACTGCTAACCATCTTAAAAAATACAGCTTTACTTAGCGGGAAGGCAAAATACCTGTTTGGAGTCTTGCTGGCTTCCAACGTAGACGCCTCTTCACTTCCAGAGGTTGCCCCGAACACCCGAAACAAGTTGCTGCGACACAGAGAATACTTCAGTCATACTCCTCCATAAAACATAGCATACAAGAATACTGTGATACAACGCAAAAAAAGTCCTGTCATGTATGTTTCATTCACTTCATTCAAGGACTTGAATCCATCAAACTGTGTAGCTAACACAATACCTGTAGGAACCAGTAGCTACACGCATGCCATCGCCACTAAGACAACACTCAAACTTGTCGAAAATAGAGTCATTTTCGTATAAATCGTAAAGCTGCAAACGATACAAAACAACTTATATTAGTACATTCCCAGCACCTGCGGATCTTGAATACCAAGCCAATAATACCAGATAAAAATAACACGAATAAGATTTGCAGTATACTCTCAGAATAGAAAAACTCAAGACCCAGTAAAAGCATCATGCTGAACCACAATTTAAAAAGACTATTCCACAACTAGAAGACGATTGCCAAGATTACCTTTGGTCGCAAATGCTCGTGAACTTTGAACGTAGCCACGGGGACAGATTCCATGTTGACGTCCCACAGCTGAGAGACACAAACAAACAACTGATGAGCACTGGTATTTGATGGAAAGTACTGCAGTTCTGATAATAATGACATGACTCAGTCCTGCTTTGACCCTCAATTTACGAATTCATCGTCTTTTAAGAGACTCAGATGTGAGGTACTGGTACTTGACATAAGCTTAGCACTCGGTTCAGTAACCACAGTAGTACTCACATGCAAGCTAGAACGAAGCTGGATAAAGTCTCTACTCAGACCTTGTCCATGAAACATGCATGAGCTGAGGACTACATCAACTTCTTCTGGCCATATCATTCTCAGGCAGAAAAAGTCGTTACTTTGGGAAACATTAATTTATCTTAACAAACTAGCAGATATAAAAGCTATGACAACTTTCTGACCAACAGAACACAATTAAAAGTTGGATTTTTTGAAATTATCCTCGAACATACTTATAAGGTTCACCAACATTCTCCATTTAAACATTCTCTAGACAAGCTTCAATTCCAGCAGTGATAATCAATTTTCGCAATTACGAATATCGAGTATCAAACTAACCTTGAGAGTCATGTAGTCCCTACTCAGAATGTACCGGCCACCTCTTGCAAACTTGATATCAGAAATTGAAGCAATAATCTCTGTGAAAAACGACCTAGCTCCAGGAGGCTCAGTCTCCTCAAACCTGAATTCTCATTAACAATACGACTGTCCCTTAAGTACTTGCAAACTTGGTAAGATCATTCTGGATACAGAAAAATTCTAAATCATCCTAGTAATATATCATTACAGTGCCCATGCTGAACCGTACAAGTTAAGAGTCACACTGAAATGTCATAAGTCAAGAACTATTCTTTATGATGGGGCACTTAAATAAAGGAATGAGGTGCGTAATAGCCATGCCATGGAAAGAAGAAAAAAGGGAACGTACAATTTCGAGTGTCGGTCACACAAGGCTGATTGGCGCATATCAATGAGTCGAATAGATCCCTTGCTGCTACTGTATGCTAAAATATTGCAATGATTAGGATGAAACTCTGCAGACGTTATCACCTCTGCTCAACCAAGGCCAACACAAAACCCTCATATCATTACTTGCCTCATTTTGAATGCCAATTGACATGAAGTTCCAAATCATTTATCCTCACTGATCAACAGAAAACAACATATCACGTTTGAATATACAGGGTGCATGTAGAGGTGATGGCGTTGGAGCGGGGTGAGTCGAAGAACTGAAAACCAAGAAGCAGTACCTGTGAGATCTTCCATGTTGGTTGGTTTAATGTCAACAATGTTGAAACTTTGATCATTAACTTCAATGTTCCACAAATTTATCCTCAAATCGTCTGCAGAGATGAATGTCTCACAATCACTGCACATGAACAGCAAGGATTCTCTATTAGATTCCAAACGTTTGAAGAGTTGCACATGACAATATGCTCACATCTTGGAAAGTAAATACTAATCCAACCACATAAAAACTATAACCTAACCATACGATTCGGGAGCAATTAAAAACTCAGACAACATACATGGAAAACAAGTCCCTACAGACCTCGTCGCTTCAAGGTATTTTCAACTGATAGTCTCAAAATCAATATCCACAATAGAAGTAGATGTAAAGTCACTAATGTCCCTAAAAGACCCACCCTAACTTCAACAACAGTAAGGTGTTCCTGCAACCTAAAAACGTGGTTAGCAAAAAAAATAAACAATTCCATCATATTGAAAATATTCAAACATTTAAGATCAGCAAAGAAATGTTCCATGTCAAAAGTACCTGTTGTTAGATATGGAATTGATGTGATACGCATGAGCATTAGCGTAGACTTTTCTACACCTGGCGACTAATGCCGTCTCGTTGCTCCACAACTGCAGCTCACAAGTAAAGCACTACCGCATTAAAACCAGTTGCTTTGCAACAATCGCGAAGATGGCCATAAGGCTCACAAAGTTTCAAAATTACTGACTGAATCAAATATCAGTTGAGCATGAAGCAAAAAAGAGAAACGTGAAGGAAAAAATCGAAAGCATGAGACTAGTACAACTACCGCGGGAAGATGAAGTGACGGGAAACCCCCGGGAGGAAATGCGAAATCGGGGCTAATGAAAGGTATGGGTCGATTCACAGCTACTCCATTCATCGACAAGCGTGGTGCAAAACCCTTAGTGTTAAGAACCATGCTATTTGCCATTGCATTTCCGTTCCTTTGAATGGCTCCAGAATCCAGATTCAGACTCTTCACTTGTTTCAGTTTCTTTTCAGTCACCTGCAGTATTAAGCTCTTTCAGTAAGTAACACAAGATAATATTCCAGAGCAGTTTTAAATACAATTAACCAAGAATCTCATCCAAACCACCACCCCAGGTAACTCACTAGCCACTGTTAACAGTAAAAAGAGTGATGAACAAAACATGCACCACCATGTCCTAAGTGTATTTTAATGTCAGGTAGCGTAGCTGAACAATGATACAGAAGATGTTTCATTTCTGCAGCATTTTCATGTTCAAAACTAGACGATCGCATTCAAACCTTAAAAGGGCCACTTTGGGATGCATTTCAATGAGAAAACCTGTTATAGCTATTGAGGTACAAAGTTACGGAATTTCAATACGGCAAAGGCGTGAGGATCATAATCATAAAGAAATAAAGTGGAGCTTCAATCACTTAAGCTGCGAGTACCTTCCACAATTTAATAGTTTTGTCATTTGTAGAAAGTAGGAACTGAGCAGCATTAGCAGTCTGGCACCACCTAATTTTATTGATCTTCTCCTCTATTTCCAAACTCTTCAAATAATCAAACTGCATAACCAAACATATTCAAAAAAGCAGGCATCAGTAAGATAGAACTGGAAACGAAGTGCAACAAAATCAACGCCATACTGTATCTCAGAACAATCCCTCGGTATCCAATCATCCTACAGCATCAGTTAACGGAGCAACAGAATTTCTATCCCAAACAAGGTTATATTGCTCGGTGTCTTAGAACGTTGGATGTCGATATATTAGCACGATATTGAAGATACTGATGATCAATTTAAACAATCAGCAATAAACAATAAACAATTTGAATATATAACCAATAGAATTACCTCTGGCTCGTGACTTTGAAACTCAGTTGAGTATCGATATTCTGGATGTCTTGGACCCACAAAATCAGCCCTTTCTAACTCTCTTCGTGTCCTTTGCTGCAAAGACGACCATAAACGAGACAAGCTTAGTATTTGCATAAGAATGAATTGTTACAGAGAAAACATCAACAGGAGACTCGCAAAAGGTAAACAAAATCCAGAGACAACGATATTCAGAAATAAAACAGACGCCACCACAACTGCAGATCATAACTTGAAAGAGGAACACAATACTCGCATAATAAGTTAGCAGAGATTCCATCTGAAGCATCGTGCCCTTAACCACTTGCAGAGAAAGATAAAAATTTCAAACTTATTAACAATCTCTAAGGTTGGAACAAAATCTGCAATACAACTATAAAGTATTAATAATTGTTTTTATTTTTTTAAATCACGGACTAAAAATGAAAAAAATATTGATGACACCGACATACTACACTCACAACAGCATTCCTATTACGAGCTTCAATCAAGCAACACTTGGTGCACGGAACCACCAAGCACGACAAACTGCAAAAGTTATCGTAAAAGAAGCCATCGTAATTTTTCAGCAGTCACGGACGATCAATACACATACTTCGGTCATTGATCAAAAAGATTGCTAAAATGCATCAGCAATACTTGACAGGATTAAGATGACACATAATCTACTCAGAAACACTTTTATTTTCTCCAAGTTGAGCAAGGTAAAAAGATAACGTCACCTAAAGGAGATCAGGACATATTTTGAGGTAATGGTTTGTCTCCATGAAAATAAGTCAGAAGCCTGACGCCAGCACAGATAGTATGCACTAGATAAACATATCACTGGACACTAAGAACAGGTACCAGCATGGATTAAGAACAACGACATGAAACAGAACGTACATCTCTGCCATCCGTTCTCTCAAAGAGAACAACTCGTCCACCTCGGTCTCCAGTTGCCAAATGCTCTCCAGTTTTATCGAACTCAATGGCCGAGATAATGTCAACTGCATTCATCAAAATGGATCAATTTGGGGTTCAGAGATTGACGACATATGAATACCCATCTCCCAGATGAAATAAACTCGACGATCAAAACCCTTCACTACTATACAGCTACCAAAATGATCGGCACTAATTCCACGTGTAACTCTTCCTTCGCCCAAAGATACCCCAGGAGATGCTCAACATGCACAAAAAATCAAAATTCCATCAACAACCAGCAGCCTTTGCTATCCACCGAAACCACGTTAAGTATTGAAATAGCGAGTCTTTAAAACAACAAACTAAGATACGTAACATAATTACAAAACTGTAGCAAATCCCCTCAACTAAGAAACCCTAGCTAAAAGGATACTTCTTGAAGAATCATACTCTATAACTCATAATCTGCACCTGAAACAACGTAGCAAAAACTTTCTGAAGAGATCTCTTAAACTTTGAAAATGAAACAAATCCACAGTACTAAAAAGTTTATGAGGTGCTAATAAACAAAGAAACACCCATAATTAAACTGGTGAGATTAATGCTAATAACTGGATCCATCCAAGCTCAACATCACATTAGCGAATACACAGATAGCAATCAGAAAATGCGTCGTAGAACAATAGGGTTCGACAATGCACTCGAAGCTCGCTGAAAACCCGAAAATTTCCATGCTCAGCAAGGAATTATACAAGAGAGTAGACGCAGTGGACTGAAATGCCACATTGGGATACTTCAGCAACCCTAACGTTTCATTTTTTCTAGAAGTGCCATTTCCCCTTCAGACACAACCCATTATTAAACCTCGGCTGCAAATAAGTAAATATCGAATTGTTTAGTATTTTTGTATCATATCAGCTAGATAGTAGTGCCAAACCCTTGTTTGCAGGTAAAAATGCAACGGAAGATGTAAAGAAGGAGCTGAGGAATAATCATCTGGTCAAAAAGCGCTAGTAATGCAGCACATGAAAGAGAACATCCGCTTGTATCAGGGTAATGAGTAAATTTCAGAAGCTGATATCCAAATCCGCCCGTCAAAGACACACATTCTCTGAAAAATTCCTAATCGGTGTCGAAGAATGGGCCTAAGCAAGCACCGGGCACCACTTCATATATATATATATATATATATATATATATATATATATATATATATATATATAAAAACTTCATAAGGAGAGAGTTTATAAGCTCAAATTCTTGAAGAGGATCCGCGAATCTCAACCAAAACAAAACTCACCACTACTAACCCAAACAGCAATAGAGCCTCACAAGGACTAAACAAAAACAAGAGAAACCAAACGCTTCACCATGAAGTATGTAATTCTCTAGGACCCTCTAAACTACGAACAAAAGGCGATCAAGCCACAGACCTTCTTGCACTTCTTCTCCGATGGCGCGCTCTCCAAAAACCTGAGAGAATTTCCACTCAAGCGCGGGCAATGGCGCATCATCGGAACCAGCAGCAGTAGCAACCGGGGCCCCGGCAGCGGCGGGCGCCCCGCTCGCACTACTGATCATCACTTTCAACGCACCTGAAACTCTCCGATCCTCTAAAACTCCGTCCTACAAGAGGACCCCAGTAGCAGTCCCCAAAAAACTTACCTAAGCCCACTTCCTGGCTCTATCAAACCCTATCTTCAAACTCTACCACATTCAACTCCACTCTAAATTGGCTGCACCTCCCCCCATGGACCTCCTTCCGCCCGCTCACGGAGCTCGGGCAAGCTCCACACTCCACCAAATGGCGCATGCGGGGGGTCGTCGCAAAGACGAGGACGCCGTGAATCCATTCATGGCGGCTGTGACAAGGTCTGGCGATTGAACTGCCGTGCATCTGCGAAGAGCAATGCGTGAACCTTCGCGTGAGGAGTGCGTCTCGCCCTTGCAAGGGACAAATGTTCTACATCCCCGCCCAAGTCCTTGCTCTGGACTACCAGTTCCGGCCCGGGTCTGAGGCATCCATCACCTGTGGACCCATGATACCCTACCTAGGTCAGTAGATCCTGTATAAACAGGTATATGGGCGCCGGTATACCCGTCTCAGAAACTATGCCCGGTAAGGTTAACCTCCTTACCGTGTGCAGGGTGTCCCATGCACCCGGATCATATCCGTTCGATGTACCGGAAGTTCAGATGCAGTCCTTTGTCCAGGTATTTTGGAAATTGTTGCTTCTAATTTAATAAACAATGTACCAATAAAACATAAATTGCGTTGTTTCATAATTGAATACTTCATTTCTATAATGGTTAATGTAGAGGAGAATAGCATAAAACCAAAACTTTGCTCGGTTTACAGGAACAGCCACTTTTTCTATTTATTGCCATTTGTGAAACTCACGTATATTTTAACGTCTTTTATCATTGTAAGGAGTTAGATTTTATTTTTTATTTTTTATTTGTGTAACTACCTGACATGCTTAAGCAACTAGAATAACATAAAATTATTGGAACATGTATTCAAATTGCATATTACTGAACTTCAAACTCCAAGTAAATTTGAAGACCACCTGTACAATGCCTTTCTAAATCATGTATCTTGATGAATTTTTTTATTCTAAGACACTGAGTTATTCTGTGCTATGAGTTGTGCAAGAGTTGTGATTTTTGTATTGGATTTTTAACTTTATAATCAGTGTATTTTATCTCATAAGTAATAGCCTAATATTATATCTCTCTCTCTCTCTCTCTCTCTATATATATATATATATATATGAAGTAAAAAACAAAACTTCCAATCTTACTTCAAGAGATTTGAATCAATATGAGATTGTAATGAGAGATAAAATAGATGAAGAAAAAAACAAACAATTTTTTAAAAAATTGCAAAAGAAAAAAGTTGATGCATGTAAAATTTGTAAATTACTTGTTTTTGGCTTTAACAAATCACAGAGATTAATTCTCACCTGAGTTAAAAAACCAAAAAATCCATTTAACATGCTTATAGTAAACTTATTTTATATAGAATATGATATTTTGCATCTAAGATTTGTGATTAATTTTTTGATATGGTTCATTTAATATAGGTATTACATTTGGTATTTGCTATATATATATATATATATATATATATATATATATATATATATTAAAATAGTGATATAAAATTTCAAAAAACCGTTACATAAAATATCATGACAATCCATAGATTTTTCATTTAATATACAAAGAAGTTTAATTCACCACTAACACTTTTTCTACAAAATTATTAAAATATATACTATATTCTATTAATTGTTGTGCTTTATTTTAATATATATGAATTATTTTATTTTTTCTTTATTTAATTTGCTTAAGATAATACATTTCTACGCATTTATATCTTTTAAATTTTAATCTTAGTTTATTTGAGTTGACTCGAATGCTTTTGGTTTATTTAATGGAATTTTTAATTAAAGCATTTGAGATAGATAGCTTTTTATAAATGAAGTTTTCTTGAATTTATTTTCTTATTGTCATCATCCAATAATACAATTGCTTAAATATACCATTATATATGATATACATAATATATTTTAGGAGACACTAAGTACACACATATTTTTTATTGCATGGACTCCTTCATATGCTATGCATCCTTATATATATACCTTTGTAAATTATAAATTGTATAAATTTTATTTTATTTTAATAAGCTTAGTTTATATTTTTATATTTTAAAATTTATTATAAATATAAAATTTAGTTGATTTTAAAAAACATCTATAAAACATTATTTACTATATCCATTACAATATTTAGAGTATATAAATTTAAGTGAATGTAAGTATATGTATATGTTTTCAAATATATATATATATATATATATACATACATATATATTTATTACATTTTAAGTTATATTATATAAAATTCATTTGTGATATAATTTTTAAAACGAAAAATAATTGATATATAAATTATATATTAATATAAAATAATAATAATAATAATAATATTTGTTAAACTTTTTAAACACTATAGTTAATAGGATTTAGATTAATATTCAATATTTGTTTACATCTTGTAATTAAAGCTCACAAAGTTTTATTCAATCAAAACACAATAATCTAAAATAATTATGTACTAGAATATTAATTGCAAATTGGTATTTTTATACCATTCTAAAAATATAAATCATATATATATATATATATTATAAAAAATTAATACTATTAAATATATTTAGTAAGTATTTCAAGTTATTATAAGTGATACAAAAAAAATGTGCCAACATATATTTAATTGTATTAATTTTAGATGTAACTTACAAGGTTTAGAAGTTCAGTTCTAATTGTTACTTTATTCTTGTTTTATTTAGCTTATCTACTTAAGAGATTTAAAAATTTGATTTGATTTGGTTTTTAATTTTTGATTTTTATTTGGCATTTGATCTTTGATTTTGATTTATTTATTTTTTTACATATTCAAAACAAACTCTACTAAAGAAGTTTTGAAGTTTGATTTTTATTCGTACTTTTTTCATATAATACATAGTCATCTTTTTTAAGAGGTTGAAATTTTAATTTAAGTTTTAATTCTCTTTCTATACTATAAAACTACCTTGCTTAAAAGATTAGAACTTTAAATTCAATGGCCAATTTTTTTATACTATAAAACTAATTATTTAATAAAATAATATAATAATTCTTATTATTTTTTCCTATTATTATATATACATAAGACCTTTAAAAGTTTTTTTTGACTATTTTTTTCTATATTATACAATTGCTATGCATAAGAAGTTTAGAGAATTGATTTCTAAAGTTTTTTTTTTTTTTTTTTTTTTTTCTTAGTATTTATATCTACTTTATATGTAAATTTTATAAACTTAATTCTAATTTTTTTCATATTATTTATAACCATTTTATTAATAAATTAAGAAGTATAATTCTTGATTTACTTTTTCCATTATACTATACAACCACTATACTAAGAAGATTTGAAAATTCAACTCATATTGCTACTTTATCTTTATATTATATAACTACTTTGCTTAAGAAATTTAGGAGTTTATCTTCTATTACTACTTTTTATATATATTATGTATCTAATTTATTTAAGAGATTTCAAATTTTCTTTCTTATAACCACTTTTATCAATGAAATATACATTTATGTTGTTTTAAAAAATAGGATTCAATTCTTATCATAATTATGTCAAAAAAAATTTAATTTTAATTTTATTTGTATTTTTATACTACACAACAACCTTGCTTAAGATATTTTTGAATTTGAATCTTTTTGTTATAGTATATATTAATTACTCAACCTCATTATTGAAGAAATTAAGAGTTTGTCTCCTATACTATATATCAACCTCACTAAAAAATTGAAATTTTGATTTTTATCATTTTTTATTCTTTTTACTATATAATAATCTATTTTAAGATATTTAGAAGTTCAAAACTTATTATAATTTTTATCTTGTAATATCAACTATTTTATTTAAGATGATTAGAATAATATATATATATATACATATATATATATATATATATATATATATATATATATATATTTCATTTATCATAGATATACATATTTACTCTAATAATTATTTATATGATTAGATAGAAATAAATAAAAGTAGATTAATTCATTCATTATATCTTCTAGAAAAGCTTCCAAAAGCTTTAGAGACATGACTTTGATTTTACATGTACACCATGTAGGTTAGAAACATGATCCACAAGTTAGCCTTCTATCACACATGTTGATAGCTTGTAGAACAAATCAACTATGTGGCGCACATTTAGAAAACTTATCTTGCAAGTTAAGACATATGTGTCACAATTTAGATACATGTTGGAGGTCTACTATATAGCTCTTAGTTAAATAATATATGTAGATGCAACAATGAAGCCTTCTTCATTCTTGTCAAAGCCTTTCTTATTCTTAGTCTAGTTTCAAGAGTCTACACTCTTTAATATCTTTGATAATAGCCATTCTAGTCTTAATATTATATTACTTTTGGATTAAATATTTTTTCTTTTTGAGTCACATAAGAGTGTTTTAAGATTCTTCTTATTTTGATTCATATCCTTTATAATTTGATAAGAGTGCTAACTCGTTTTTTTTTTGTTTTTTTTAAAAGAGAGTAAATTATTCCACTTTTATTATTTTTTTTTGAAGATTATAAATTACAAATCTTTAAACTAACACTTTAATTTTCTAACATTGATTTTTTTTAAAGAGAGCAAATCACCCTTATTTATAGAAATTTTTATTTGATATTAGAAGTTACAGATTATCCTCTTTTAATTTGACTTTTGAATTTATTAAGTTGCTTAAAATAGAAGAAATAATAATAGATGCTATACTTTATAAAGTGAGAATATATTTCTAACTATCATAGATCTTCATGAGTTTGTCAAGACATTTAGGGTAGAAATTTCAAGCATTACCAATACTAATCATGGAAGTACTATTTCTATATCTATGGAAGATATTCAAAATCTATGCCAAAAAATTGTTCAATTGAAGAAAGTAAGTAAATTAGTCTCACAACTAAATTCAAAAAGTCTTGCTTTTATAAGCATAAGAGAGGCAAGAATTAGTATAATCAAAATTTTAAAGATTTCTACAACAAATTAAGTTGTATTTAAAGTTGCATCATTTCCAATACCACAATGGATTTATTCAAGTTGGATTTATAGGAATTTTTCTATCTAAAAATGTTTTTTTTATTATTTATAAATTTAATAAAAAAATATTCACAATTCTCTTATAATTTGAATTTATTCTTAAAAGTATTTATGGCTTCATTAGAAGAAATTAATATATATATTTTGTAGAAATCAAGTTTTTATATTAATGATAAAAATTAATTAGGAAGCATAGACAATATCTTTTAAAGATGGAGGGTGCAAGGTAATTCTTTGCACCTCCATATTAAGTGAAGAAGAAAGACAACTTCTAATCAAAGACTTAT